TTTTTCCACGTGCGCGTTTCCGGCCGACGTGGCGCATTGTCTGCGTTCCGTGGCTCCGTTACATGCTCGCGTTATCGACCTGCTCCATACCGGATGCTGGAGAACGACGCGGAGAACTGGCTGCGAAAAGAGTAATTTCACCGGCAGAACGATGCATCCAGGCGCAGACCTGTCGCTTTCCGTTTCGATCCACTTCCATCTTCTTCCCGACTTTTGCCTCTTTTCACGTCGGCTGTGTGTAACGCAGTCAACCCTCTTCGAGCGTTAAAAATCTACGCTGGATGCTGCTGACTTCCTGTTCCGAGTACTTACGCGAGAAATGTGACAGGTCGTGTTTCTTAAATTTGGACGAATAAAATTTTTAATGGTCGGTAGGGCACGACCTTCTCCTATTTGCAAATTAATTTTAGACGCGAAATTAATTTTCGTAATCGTGACACGATTTTTGCGTTCTAGTTTTATAGAGTAACACGGTTTCGATTAGCTGATGCGACATGTCAGAGACAGGTTTTCTCGATGTAACGTAGAATTCATTTTCCTAATTTGTGTTGATCTATTCGATTAACTATGGGGTGAATTAAGGAGGGTCGAGTGTAACTTCCATTTGGTTATATTCTATTCTATTTACTAACTAATTGCTTTATGCTGTTTCAGGTAACCTGTATCAGAGCTACGCAGACAGCGGAGAATCGACTGCAGTGGAAGGACGATGGCACTGTCAGGAAAGAAGGACATGATCGATATCGACTGTCCCTACGTCCAATGGAAGCTTCTCGAGGTATTACGGGAAGGGATCATAAACGAGACGCGCGTGTTCCGTTCAGACGTCACGTTCGGCTAGCAACGCACGTCGGCTCGCTCGGAATCGGAACGGATGGAGCGAGGCTGGGACCTTTCGGTTCCAGTCTGGTACGTGTATCCGAAAGATAAGGAGATTTCGAGGTGGACGGATTTATCGTGGCTTCGATAAATCTTTAGTTCGCCGGCCAGGCAGATATTGGCGGCATTAAGGCCGGAAGATTGAGATGCTTAGCAGAGCCTGCCACCCTAGCTATTTTCACGCTAGGCGTGTATAGCCTGCCTCGCGAGTTGACAGGCTACCTTCCGTGATCGATGTTCCGGCTGTCGTTCACGCCTCCGATCGTTGACACTGCCGAAGGTCTCGTCCGCAGCGTAGATGTCGCGTCGATCGAATCAAACATGGCGGAGTGGTTCCAAGTCGCGGAGCGTTCGCAAGTTTCGTTGCATTTTGACAGAAATTCGCGGCCATGGAATCAAACATGGCGGAATGGTTCCAAGTCGCGGAGCGTTCGCAAGTTTCGTTGCATTTTGACAGAAATTCGCGGCCATGGAATCAAACATGGCGGAATGGTTCCAAGTCGCGGAGCGTTCGCAAGTTTCGTTGCATTTTGACAGAAATTCGCGGCCATGGAATCAAACATGGCGGAATGGTTCCGAGTGGTAAGGTATTCGCAAGTTTCGTGCCATTTTAATAGAAATTCGCGACGATCGAATCAAACATGGCGGAATGTTAGGTATTCGCAAGTTTCGTGCCATTTTGATAGAAATTCGCGACGATCGAATCAAACATGGCGGAATGGTTCTAAGTCGTAAAGCCTTCGCAAGTTTCGTGCCATTGTGATAGAAATTCGAGTCGATTGAAGCAAACATGGCGGAGTGATTCGAAGTTGTAAGCCATTCGCCATTTTCGTTCCATTTTGATAGAAATTCGCGTCCATGGAATCAAACATGGCGGAACGGTTCAGAGTCGTAAGGACTTCGCGAGTTTCGTTCCATTTTGGTAGAAATTCGCGTCCATGGAATGAAACATGGCGGTACAGTTTCGAATCGTAAAGCATTCGCCATTTTCGTTCGATTTCGATGAAAATTCTCCTCATCTCGCGCCGATCATGAGAGAGAAGGAAGTCCACAATAAGGAGAACAGACGTACGGTCGCAATTAAGGGGGTCCATTGAGGCCGAAGCTCGATCACCGAGTGTCCTTCGGGGCACAAAGGGAGAGACGGTGGTGGCGCACTTTGGCAGGAGTTATCAGCGTGGCTGGTTAAAAAAGGCTTTCGAGAAACGTTAACGAAGCTCGACCATCTTATCGGGCCGCGACAGAACAATGCCTCGTTACGCCAGAACCGGACGAGTGGTCGCGCGTTTCTTCCTGATCGTCCGCCGCATCTTCGCGGCGCGATTAAAACCTTCTTTATTCCAGCACCGAAAGAGTTATGCTGCCGCGATGCTCGGCAGGATCCCAGACTGCTATCGGAAACGACATCGAAAAGGGTTCGAGAGGACCACCGTCATCGACTGCTAAACGCTCTCTTCGAGCACCTTCCGCGTTCTTCCTGCTCCTCACCAGGAGCACCCTAAACTCCGGGTAGCTCTCGTGCAATTTGGATCGGGCGAATGAAATTGTCCTCCACGGTGGCTGACTCTAATCGCGTCGAGGAACTCGGGTCAGGAATATTTGTTCCCAGATCGCAAGAGAACTCGTGTCCTCTTCTTCGAAGATCCTTTTTGTCGCTCCCGTTTGTTCCACGCGAGGAGGAACAAGAGACGTTCTCGGAGACGTCCAAGGATCTCCTCTAATTGCCAGCCTTTCCACGATCGCTTTTTCCACGACTGACGTAAGTACTTGCCGGGTCCCGGGTCTCGTAAGAACCAAGGAGTCTATCTTCTGTCAATGTAAAGTATTCGGTTGTTTCACGACCGAGCGGATCGAAGGGAGACATCGGCTTCCGCGTTGAATACTTGACTTCTAAATTCCGTTTGGGAGCAGCAGCGACCGAACGAGCGCAGAGAAGCTCTTTGTTCGATTGCTAAAGAATTCCGTTGATCAGGAAGCCAAGCGTATCGAAACTTCCTACGTGACTCGCCGACTTTGCTCAGAGGAGGATTCATCTTTCATGGGAACAAACATCGACAGTCGGTTGCGAGCGAATTCGCAGCGGCTCGTTCTAGAACCCGGAAGACCAGCCTCTCTCCCGTTTCATTCCCCTTTTCGAACGGTTTAACCTGCCTCTTGCTCATCGTGCTCCATCCACCCTCTGGCCCATTTTGTTTTCAGACGAGCAATCCGTGTCGCTCGCTCCAGACGGGGCAGCCAGAACGCAACACCGACTTCAATATCCGCGCTGGACCACGAACAAAGCCCGAAAAGAAACGAATTTGCGAAACGTTGAAATATCGCGCCAGACTGCAGCCAATTTTCCCACGTCTGCTCCTTTTCTCCGTTTGATTTCCTGCGGAAGTCCACGCTGATATGCCCCGCGTCTCTATCTACCCGCGCAGCGTTATTAAAGCGACGCGTTCTGTTCGTTTTTCCTCGTTTCCGCTCGTTTCCGTCCGTGTCTGCGTATTTTCTATTTAAACCTGTCCATTTTTTATCCGAATACCTTCCCGATCCGATTTGACGTTGCGGTATGTTCGGATTTCGCGGAAATTCCACTGTGCACAGCTGCGATGTATAGTTGACGGCGCGTTTGGATTCTAGCTCAGCGCGTCTTTAGTGCCATGAATACTTGGAACGAACAATGCGCCATTGCGCTACTATTTTTCAGCGTAAACCGAAATAAGCGCTCGGCATTTTTTGGCGGAAAACCGCACGAGCATCATCGCGGTATGCGGATTTTACGTGGATCGTTTCATTGGATAACAGTGTGCAACGATATAGACAGTGCGATATTACTCGTCTTGATCCTACCAGCGTATTCAAAATTTTGTCGACATTTAATTCTTCGAGTATCGCAGGATACTTAGATGTCGCGTCGAGTGTCACAGTGTCTTCTGTTTCATCGATATTCGGGATAACGCCGATGTTACGATTTCATACGTAGCGGTGTAATTCTCGCTCTCGCCGATAGATGGCTGCCTAGTTGAAGGAGGTTCCAGGTTTCTCGCAAGTAATCGGTGGACCCTCCGCTTCCTATATATACAACTTCCAAACTTTTTAATAGTATGAGGTAGGGACTGCTAGGTAGCCTTACTGTGATGAGTCCAATAGCACAGGTCCCCCAGGACCACAAAATTTGTGGCCCCCCATCCCATGTCTTCACCATATCGACCTCTCTCCCATAGAATAATTATATATTTTTTCAGGCTTCCATTAAAACAAGGAACGTTCTATTCGGATTTTACGTTGAAAAATGGATCTCATACCGTTCGTTATTCTGATTTTCGGTTGAAAAATGTATTACATTGGCGCGTAATTGGGATTTTGAGAGAGGAAAATTCGGAATATCCACGAATTGGAACAAGCTCTTGTACCACGTGGCTGAACATTTGCCGATAAAATTTTCGCAATGGATTAGACATCGGGGATATATCGAAGATGGCCGATACTCGCGGGCGAAACTGATCCCGAATGCAGGAATATACGACAGGGTTGGAACAGTGGCGTTAACAGTTTGCAGCGACTCGTCAAAGAAATTCAACAGCGGGGAAACTTTGACTGTGGAACGGGGGTAACTTGGCTTTCACGTGTCGCGGAGTTGCAAGTTTTAGCGTTCGACGCGCGACGGAAAATCGCGGTTGCATCGCAAGCTGCCCCGGGAAACTCGACTTTCGCAATTACGTAGTCGATATCATGCAAATCTACAGCCGGTCTCTATCCCCTGTCGGTGCAATTGGCGTAGAACGACGCGTCTGGATTCGAAAAACTTTCACGCAACGTATCGAGATAACATTCTGCCTCGATCCGCGCGCGTGTTCCTCTTCCTCTGGCTGGTAATTTCAATTCAAGCAGATTTCCAAAGGCCCTCGAACGGGGACAAGAAGAGGGGAACCGGGGCTCGAGGATCCGAGTTCGCAGGCGTCACGGAGTGCGCTCTCTTATCGGAAATTTCCTCTCGAAGGATTCTTCCACTTCCCGGTTCCCTTCGTCCACGATGGCGGCGTCCGCGGAACCGGCGGAAGTTTTACGAGCGACGTCAACAACCGGCACGTCGCTGGAGACGAAGTAGTTTCCGCGGAATGATTTATAGCACTCACCCTGACGGGAGCGAAGATCTGGTCGGGCTTGATGTTCTCGAGTCTGTGCTCCTGCTCGCCTTTGTGCAACAGCTGCAGGTGCGGCTGGAAGTGCGCCGGACAAAGGGTGCCGAGTGGAAGAGGCGACGCCCATGCTGGCAAATGGGGTGGATCACGAGTGCCTAGCTCCTTGTAGAAGGACTTCAGGAATCTGTAAAACGAAGCAAGTTCGACGTGTTTAACCGACCGACACGTGGGCACGAATTTGCTTAATTCCTCCGAGTGCTAATGGAAAGTTTGCTCCAGTGAGTCGCGATCGATCCACGTCGATCGTAGCGTGATTTATAGGGGTAGGTGGGAACGAGTGAAGGGGTGAAAGAAGCTTGGCGAGGAGTCAAGGTGGGCGTTGATTTCGGCGGAATTGAAAGGACCGTGGGCACACACCGGGCTGAAATATGAGGAGCTGAGAGGATTACGGACAGCTAACGCGATTTAGCTTCGTCTCGGAGGGCGACTTGTCGATCAGCTCTTCGTAATTTGACTTCGATGATTTTTTAACGTGTCATGGGGAAGATTAGTTAGTTTTCCACAAATCTGTAAAAGCTTTGGATCTCTCTTCAAAATTACGGTATTCGAAATATCAGTAAAAAGGTTCTAACGTTACATACAAATTTACGTTACAAAAATTCTTACGGTAGATACACCCTAGTTTCTATAGGGTGTCCTATTTAAAATCTGCACCTCTTTTACGTTTCGTTACGTAGTTTTGACAAGTTTTACGAATAATAACAGATTGGTGTTAGGTTTGGCAATACAGAAGGGATGCAAAGTACTCCATATTCATTTTCACGCCTTAAAAAATCATCGAAATTCGAGGATGACGATTTATATTATCGTTTTATCGGTTGAATTACACTGATCATCTTTCACGTTACATTACATAGGTTTGGATAATGACAGATTGGTATTAGGATTGGATATACAGAGGGGGGCAAAGGACTCCAAATTCGTTCCCACGCGTTAAAAAATCATCGAAATTCGAGGATGACGATTTATATTATCGTTTTATCGGTTGAATTACACTGATCATCTTTCACGTTACATTACATAGGTTTGGATAATGACAGATTGGTATTAGGATTGGATATACAGAGGGGTGCAAAGGACTCCAAATTCATTCCCACGCGTTAAAAAATCATCGAAATTCGAGGATGACGATTTATATTATCGTTTCATCAATTGAATTACACTGCTCGTCTTTCACGTTGCATTACGTACTTCCGAATAATGACAGATTGGTTTGGATGTTCGGAGGGGATGCAAAGGGCTCCAAATTCATTTCCACGCGTCAAAAAATTATCAAAATTCAAGAATGACGGGTTATCCTTTCGATCAGTTGAATGATACTCGTGCAGTGTCGTTTCTACTTCATCTGTGCGACGAAGAGCTTTCTTCTCAGACTTTTTACCCGCGCCCCGTTAAAATCCCGGTTAATTCGAGTTACGACGCAACAGCGGATCGTTTATCGAGTGACTGGTTAATTTCCCAGGCGACGAAACCGTAGTCACGCTAAGTGGCAACTTCGCGTTGAATGATGCATTCGTTGTAGCGGAGCCGGCGGCAAGATTGATGATCTCGCGCCGGAGCTCATAGCGAGCTGATCAAGCGCGTGGAAAGGATCGGAGAACGGAGAGAGTTTTACTGCTTCCGGACGATTGGCCCGACTGGAGCATGCTAGGATTTTATGGGCTCGGCCTGCTGGGGGACACAGGTGGCCCCATTCGATGACGATTAGTCCCTTATTTATATTATTGCCGGTTTTACTGCCCGCGAGGGTTGTAATTTCTCCCGCGATCGGGGCAACGATTTAAAAGCCCGAGGAGCAGAGAGCTTCCGGGAAGTGCCTCGATATCGACAACCGGTACTACGCCTCGCGTTCAATCCCGACGGTGGGTAGCGATATCGAGAAGACAGAGCACTCCATAGAATTCCCTTAGAGGCTATACGGCAGCCACTCGTAAAGCTAACATTTTTCACGATTCGTCGGGCAGTGGAAGGTTAAGCGATAGCTGGTCTCCGAAGAGAGAGACTGACCTCAACAGTCTCGCCAGAGGATCCCTTTCCGGGGACGGCGGCCCTCCGATCCCACTTCCGGCGCCGAGTCTCCGCGAGGACGCACGTGCGCTCGATATGTATGCGGCTGGTGCAGGGGGTGGGCTGCAGGGCGGACAACAAACGGGGCTGCTACCCCCTGGGGTCGAGAGGGTATAACTCCTCTCCAATTCCTGAAACAAAAGAAGAGAAAAGCCGCTTTAGTAGGTCCCTTCGACTGCTCGTTCTCCGTTCTTCCCCTAGCTGGCGTCGTCTTTTCGATACGGCCGCCATTGTCTGCCACGCGTCGCGGGAGCACCGGTTCCGCGGATTATCCCGGATAAATAAACGCCGTCGAAAATACCGTCTCTCGCCTCGACCTCTCGCCTCGCCTCCTATTTTTCACCAGCTCGAATCGGCAAGCAAGGTCGAAGGCGTCTGGTTATCGTCCATAAATTAAAGCGCGTACGGTTATTGGGAATATCGGCAGGCTGCGGGGTCAAGGGTGAGCGAAATTTCCCTCTCGAAAGCGCAAGATTAATGGTCGCAGCCTGCTCGCCAGGCCAACACGTGGCTCATCCGCGCCGACCGAGTCGGTTACCCAACTGCTGAATCATCCTCGGTGAAAGCGGTTCGATTAACGATTTCGAGCATCGACTACCGTTAACAAGCCAACAATCGCTCGAGCAATCGTTGCTTTTCACCTCGACCAAGCTTCGATTCCACCGACGACTTCGACGACGGGGATCGTTTTCTCTTCTAGATCGGAGATCGGTGGAGATGGCGACAAACTCGACGTGAATGCTACAGAGGTTTCAAGGTAGAAACGAATTCGTTAGGTGGAGCAAATGGACGATAATCGACGGAGTGTCCCGCAGCATACGTTCTTAGATCCTTCATCGGGAACGGTTTTCTTTTCTAGATCGAAGATCGGTGGAGATGGCGACAAACTCGACGTGAATGCTACAGAGGTTTCAAAGTAGAAACGAATTCGTTAGATGGAGTAAATGTACGATAATCGACGGAGTGTCCTGTGGCATACGTTCTCAGATCCTTCATCGGGAACGGTTTTGTTTTCTAGATCGAAGATCGGTGGACATGGCGACAAACTCGACGTGAATGCTACAGAGGTTTCAAGGTAGAAACGAATTCGTTAGGTGGAGCAAATGGACGATAATCGACGGAGTGTCCCGCGGCATACGTTCTCAGATCCTTCACCGGACACGGTTTTGTCCCCGGGAGCGAGCGGAGAAATCGCGCGGTCACGTCGGCGATCAGCGCGCGAGTAAAAAAGAGCTTACGGTCAGCGATAGCGACCGCCTTTCAATCGTAACGCTTCTCGCCGGCTACGTGACCGAAGATAAGTCGATCGGAAAGAAGGAAAACCGGGAACGACCAAGCCGTTTCGCTTTTTCCCCGCCGCGGCTTTCATCCGGGGACCAATTTTCTTCCCGCGCCGCAAAGACACGCCGTAACGCGCATTCCACCCCGTCGATTTCCACCCTGAACCACCCTTCCGCGCCATTCTTCCTCTTGCTAGCAATGCTCGCGCCGATATCGACCGGCAAACATTCGTCGTGCGCCAATTTCCCAATTCGGGTTCCGCTGATCACCTCTGACTCGAGATTACACGCGACACCTCTGGTCCTCGGACGAGGTAATAGGGGTTAAAGAAAATTTCCAATTCCGACGGGAATTATGAATATTCCTTCTCTCAATGGGAAAATGGAACTGGTCTAACGAAAGGGGATAGTTTTGAAGCAAATACGCGATGGTTCGTTCGTCAGAATCGAACGAATCGAATTGTATGAGGAGCAGAAAAATGAGTTCGATTAACCCCTGTGGTAGAGGTCAGATTAACCCTTTGAGGGCTGAGTTGTGCGACGTTAAACGCGTGCTGTGGACCAGCCACTTTTTACGACGAATTGACTGAAATTTCTTATTTTATTGTTATTTTATAAAACTATACAGTGTTGATAGTCCAGATTGAATGGTTGTGCGAGAACCCATATATGCGTTCATAGCACTCAAAGTGGATGGACTGCTTTATGTTCTTACTGCCAGCGTCGCTATGAACGAAAATCGCATATAACATAGGAATTCCCAAACGTAAGGCCCAAAGATGGGAAAAAATTTAATACCAAAAGTTAGCACCTTTTGGTCCTAGTCAGGCCCGGTCCCTGAGGACTGACCGGGCCCAAACGGGAAGTCTAGCGCCGGTTCCTGGGGACCGGCGTAGCATTTAACGTGTTAAACGCCACGCCGGTTTTACGTGCCATTCCTTGTTAGTTAGCCGTCATGCGGGCCCTTCCGGGCCTGAACGGAAAGTCCGGTCTCTAGTGACCGACGTGACGTTTAACGTGTTAAACAGAAACGAGTGCTCGTAGTTTTGAATGACTATCGCGATAAAAGGGTTAACGGTGGGCCTTCCTTGTCAATCCACCGCGAAGATCAAGTGGATCACTGCTTCGTCATCGTTGCCACGTGCTCGTCACTCATGCCGCCACATCGGTAACCGAAACTCGCGTACTTTTACAGAATGACACCTTGACGGTGTCAAAGGTGGTGCCAAATTTAATGAAAAAGGAATCTAATTTGTAATAACGACAAGAAATTTACTTTTTCCATCTATTACTTCGTGTTTCACGAAATATGGAATATTATAGACGAAAAGAGTGCAAGAAGCGTAGAATGAAGATGGCGGGCTAGGGATTTCCCCTATCCGTATCCAGAGGCGTAGCCACCGGTGGACATCGACCGCGACGTAATAATTTTCTTGATCGCGGGACGGACGAAGGTGGCCGATGCAGGAAGCAAATAATTAAACGCCGGAAGAACCGAGGGTGGAGGACCAAGGGGGTCGATCGGGGGTAGGAAGCAAGCAGGCGTACGCTATACGCCGGGAAGGACGGAACGGTAAAAATGGGGCGAGTTATCGAATCAGCGTGGAACGAACGTGTTCCATGGGCTAACTGGAGCACGCTCGGGTCGACGAGGATTAACCGTTTTGTCTCTGCCGGTCTGGTTCGATCGTGGACTACTTTCGCGAGCTGAAGATATGGCACGCGAGCGTTCCGCGCGCGCGGCCCGATAAAAATGACGAGGTCGCGAATGACCGTCCGCGACTTTCGGGTCGAGCCCGCGATGCAATTACGGAGATAACGAACTGCATTCACGCCGGTTCTATTAAAAGTATAAAGACTGTTTTAATTCAATGCACGCGGAAACGGAAGCGCCGCGCGCAATTTTAATGAGTATCGCCACGCCGCGACGACAATTAAGGCCGAATATTCCAGCGCGGATTGCATTTGCTCGATTATCGTGCGGATCGACCGCCGATCGACGTTGATCGACGTTGCATGCAAGGTCTCCGAGCAGCTCGCGCGAGCGCACGGTAATTAAACCCTTTAATCGCATTACTCTTGGTTATTAATCCCGCTCAGTGCGGTAGCTTTCTGTAACGACTTCCGTCGAGCCGCAACGTTGATCGATCAAACTAAATAACGAAGAGCTTTGTGGCATCTTTCCCGGCCGGATCATGGCAGATCGATCAATACGCCGGGCAAATTTAATCCGCAAAAATTGTTTCGCTATTTTTCTCCCCTCTCTCCCGAGGTCTCTTTGTTGGCGCTGGGAATGGGAGCAAAGGGAAACGCGGATCCTCCAATGGACTAAGTTTCCAGAGAAGTATAGTCGTCACTCGAAGCAACGGGACGTAAATGGAATTGCTATCGTCGAACGAATGAGCGGAATTATGGATCGCTTCGAACATAGGTAAAGGAGTGCTACTTTTATTGTAGCTAAACGATTAGATCTGCTAGACTGATAACCTAGTCTATCCGAAAGTTGAAGGCCTGCAGGTTTATTGTTGAAGTAACAGTGGTAATTTCGTTTACAGATGGAGTGTGTTTAGAAATAAATGTACATTGATAGAGGAGAGTTAGAGATCATCGTTCAAAACGGAGTAAATATGAAAAGTAAATTTAAAATAAAATTTAATCAATCATTGAGGATAGAAATAGATATATTATTTTGGTTATTATACTCGTTAATGTAAAGTTCCGTTTCGTCCAAGTTTTTAATATTTTATAAATTAGACACGAAACAAAAGCGAAAAGGATAGGAAATATTCAAGTCTCTTATAATAGTTACATTTATAATATTGAAAAGGAAGAATGCATTTTTAGATACTCTATGGAATAGAGCATGGCAGAGATTTTCAGGTAATTGAATGCTGAACGATTATACCTATCAGGCCGATAACGAAGTGTATCCTAAAAGATATAGCAGTACAGTAAAATAAAAATCTGAATCGTTCACCAATCGTGGAATATTAATATTCTATAAATTAAACGCGAAATAAAAGCCAAAAGAAGTCAGAAATATTCGAGTCTTCTCAAACTCTTAGATATATACATAAATAGAAAATTATATAGCACTTTTAATATTGGAAAAGAAGCAAGAGTCTTTTTGGCTACTGTATATAATACAACTTGGTATCCTCGCAAGGTTTAAACAGAAAAATCATAGTTATGCCTCTGTAAACCTCTTCAGGGATACTGTCACATACCTGTTCATCCAGTTTAATAAAATTACGATTATTACAAGTGAAAAGAAAATTAGAATTCTATTCACGATAGTATCCCTCGAGAATAAAACAGTAAATCACAGTTTAGAAATCATTGTAACATTAGCTTAAAAAAAAATTCATCCTTGTAGAGGTTAAACGCAGAAAGATGGGGCCCCGTAATGGCGACGGCGAATCCGCGCGTAACTAAAATGGCGACTCTCGGACTATCTCCATTTGGCGAATATTTCGCATAGAAAAATACACGTAAATCGGACACAACGAGTCAACCCTCTGTAAATCAACGACGTCAAACAATTCGTGTTATTCGTGAATACAGGTACGTGTCTCCTTTCTACTATAAACAACACCCAATTACTTCTTTCACGGGTCTAACGACTCTCAGTCGCAGTCGAGCGCCAAGCGTGTAAAGGTGTAAATAAAAATTCCGATACAACGAGGAGAAGTCCAAGTAAGGTTTATTCCCACGTCTCAGCTACGTCTCTCGGCGATTAGTTCGCTTTCGCTGATTCAGTTCGTCGCGACGTGCCGCCGTCGGTTGTGTGTCGGCCATTGCTTCCTCGTCGACTTTTTGTCATTTGCCGCAGCGCCGCAACTCGTTCCGCG